TTGGCCAAAAACAAGACCACAACTTTTGCTTGCTCTAAAAATGCAAAAAACCGATGAAGGGAAGGTGGTTTGGAACGATTGACGAGGTAAAGAAAAAATCGCTGGAAGAACTCAAGGCTATACCAGAAAGTGCTTATCAGAAGAGCTTCGAAGATATTTTAGGTCTATTTCAAAATTTATAGAATTCATTGTAAAAGAAAATGTGTTAGCATATTCGGAAAATTACAGTTTACTGGGCGAATATCAATATGGAGAGGGTCGATTGAATGGAGGGTGGTTTTTGTGACCTTCATAAGGCTTTCGATTGCTTGTCTCGCCTCATTTTACTCCATAAGCAGTATATTATTGATTACGTCCATTCATTTTTTAGTTTCTATCTGCTCAGTTAACACAAATGCTCTCTGTTAATAATGTGGGGTGAAATCTACTAGATATTTCAACAGGCGTACCTAAGGCTGCATTTCACCCCTTCTTTTTATTACATATATGAATAATATGACCTTAATACTACGCACACAAATGACTAAATGAGATTAATTATATTACAGAAAATGCGATAAATAGGCAAGTGTCGTCTTTTTCTATTATAAAATTGCCTCACATTTATATCACGCCGTTGTCATTTCAGTCTAGACCGAGTCCACCGATTTTTAAATCCTATTTATTAGAGTTCCTTTGAGTATACCGTTAATTGCATTGCTTTGTCGCCATTCCAAAAATATTTGCTATCCAAATCACAACAGCGTCACCGCATGTCAATATATTAGCAGTTTCGCTTAGGGGTCGAATGCATTAAATTATTCCACCAGTAGGAAGCGAGGCAATCTTGGCGCGGTCATCGTTATGGGGAAATTTATTATCGTTACGCCATTGTCTCAACTGTAATCATTTAATGAGCAACGCAAAATTTTGATTAATTATTCTCCCCGCGAGAATAATTTCATGTTATAAATTTTTGCGTCGCTGGGGAGTCAGCAGGGACATTTGATAGCTTAGCAACGAATTTTTTTAGGGGAGAATAAAATATGTTCCGGCCATGCAGTACTCCGGCGAATATCACGACCGAAAAGGAACTTACAACGTGCAACTTTAAAATCGAACGCGGCAAGCGCAAAACTAAGAATTATTGATGAGAATATGTCGAGAACAAAAGAATTGTTTTCTTTAATTGGTTTAGGCATCATTATAAATCATTACACTGGCGTAACTCTTTTCCAAGCATTTACTGGCGTAGAATAATAAATAATATATTTTAAATTGTATAACACAAAATCTTACCTAATAAAAACCACAATATCAAAATTATATGGGAAATCTTAAAAAATAACATTTTTCAATCCGATTCAGGATTTTTTGCGTATTTTAGGATAGTTTCCTCAAATTTTCCAATTACTGCAATAAATGTATTATTTTTTGTTTTTGCTGATTACTAAAGCGTTAAGCGAAAAGTGACAGCTTTTAGTTTACTTAGAACAATTTTTTTAGGAACAAGTCAAAATTTCTTTTTCTTTTCGTTTTTTAGTGTTCATAAAAATATAGAAAAAGTAGCTTCAACTTTTTAAATGAAAATAACTCAAAAACTGACAAAGTTAGACGGCCTTTCTATACAAAATTGAAAATGTTTTCACATTTGCATCATCTTTCAACCAGAATTCGACACATAAAAAAATATGACTAGATTTATCTAACTAATATGGTGAAACTAGTACCCTCTAGGAGTCAAGTAAGTTTCAAGTCGTAATTGTCATATGCAATTTTTTATCATTAGGCTATATAGACTTCCTTAATTAATGAATAAAATTTAAATATTGATCGCCCCATATCTGCGAAACCAGCGACTTTTGTATGAGGCATGTTGAGCTCAGTCATATTTTGGTTCCTAGTGCCTCCAGTTTGGAGATTGCCCATTCTTTATGAATCGCCCTATGTATCTGATTTTTCGATTCACAATGTCACTTACACAGACTTATGACGGAAATTCTGACTTTTTTTTTCAGAAATTTCGATTTTGTAATTGTTAAAGATAAATACACAAAGTCAATTTGTGGATAATTTCTTTTAGCGCCAAGCAGCACTTTGAAACATGATTTCAGTTTTCTCAAACCTAGAAGTCCCCGTCAGTTGCCGATCACATTAACAAATGAAAAATTACACAATTTATATAACAATATAAATTATTCAGTGATTTTGTACACAATTAATTGAAAAAAGTGATAATGTTACTATTTTCGAAGTATATAAATATAGATTACATTAAGTTTGTTATTTTTGCATCAAAATTAGCAATTTTTTTAATCAGTGAAATAAATTAAAAACAGGTTTAATCTGATAAACTCTCGTAATAATTTACTAATTCAATAATGTAAAATCACAGAGCTTAATAAACTAGTAACTAGTAACTTTTTGCTCCGAAAAATGAAAACAAGCAAACCGAAAAAGAAAGCGAACTTCTAAACGCGATTAGCATCAGTTACATTTTCTGCAAGATCCATTACTTAGAAGTGTGATTTTGGTTTATGTAGTCTTGAAGACGCACCAGGTTGAGTTGCTTTTTATTTTTAATTTCGAGTAAAGCAATTAAAATCATGTTTGCTTGGGTATCGGTATTGATAAAATAAATGTACCTAATCAACTAAATCAACGCCGATTCTCTCGATACGATCCAAATCGTTTCGGTAAGATTTGGGAGCGAATGAGTAATAGAAGAAAAAATATCATGCGACGGTTTAAGAATGTCATTGAGCATGGTAATTGTGGAAATAACTGTTTTAATATGATCATAATGTTGTTTGTGATGTGTTTTTGTAGTGTGAAATAGTATATTATGCAAGTGTGGTGAACGGCATTTAAGTCACACAAAACAACATGAATACATTCGCTGACAGAATTCTCTGTCTCTGAAAATATCCAATTGCTCCCAATTGACGATAATATCCCGGAAATGTCCTGTGTGACTCGGATCCGTGGGAAACGAAAGTGAAGTGTGTAAAATGATACTCTGCGCCCGCCAGATCGGTTTATAATTAGGGATTTAACAGAAAGGAGTAGAAAATAGAATATTATGCAACAAGTGCGGCATTTGACTCACGGGTTTATTTGACACGAGCGGAGCGAGTGTTTAAAATAAGAGTGACTTAAAATTTTTACCGAAAGTGTTGCATACTATACTTTTTCTACGACCGATAGTTTTTGGGTACATTTTCGCAAAAGAAGAAGAATATATTCACTGACATAGGTGTCAGAATTGACAAACGTCAAATTCAAGGCGTGGGAAATATTTCCGAAGTCATCTGATTGCTCCGAAACCCGTGCGGTAAAATCGCGGAAATGTCCGAAGTAGCTCGGATCCGTGGCAAAGGAAACTGACATGGGAAAGTGACGCTTCCCGCACGCTAGATCGGTGGGTAATTAGGTATTTTACAGACGAGAGTAGAAAAAATATTTTTCAATATAATGCGAAATTGTTTTTGATAGCCATGGGCCCCTGGGTGTTTTACCACATTAATTTACCACATTTATTTAAAGAGTTTAAAAAAGGTTTTACAAAAGATTTTTTCTGTAAGTTTCTAGTGTATTGGGCAGGAAAATAATTTTTTACAAATCTTGTGGTTCAACAACCAACGTGTAATACGGTATTTTTTCTACTCCCATCTGTAAAATGCCTAATTACATACCGATCTAACTTTCGAGAAGCGCCCCTTACCACGTCAGTTTCCCACGGATCCGAGCCACTTCGGACATTTCCGGGATTTTACGGCACGGGTTTGGGAGCAATCGGATGTTTTCCGAGATTTTACCGCACGGTTTGAATTTTAACGTTTGTCAATTCTGACAGTCATGTCAGTGTAGGTATTGGTATTGTTTTGGTTAGTTTTGGTTTAGTTAGTTTTTGGTATTGGTTTGGAAAAAATTACCCAAAAACTAATACAGAGAAAAAATTAAATACTACGTGTCATAAGCTACAATAAAAATCTAGTGGGCTAGTGGGTAAGTAAAGTGACATTTATAATGATTTTTCTTCCAATTACAGTATTTTTCTTTAAATAAACTACCACATGATCAATTGTAAAAGTTAAATAAACAACATGACGTTTTAAAATTGTGTTTATCCCGTTGTTTACATGACATATCCAATTATACATCTCTCTCTGTCTAATGTCCTCGGTTAAAAAGGGACAACAATAGCAGAACCGATCGGAACGATAAACGAATAGGTTTAATGGCAAGCATTTTGTTTGAATGGTACGAAATTTAGTAATCCGAGAATCTAATACTATTTTTAATTTATTAAATTGTGATTTTTTCGTGACGGTCGTAGAAAAAGTATAGTATGTAATAACACGTTTGGTCAACTCTTTATCTCACTCGTTTATTAAGCACTCGCTCCGCTGCCTTCCGCTCGTGCCCAATAAACTCGTGAGTCAAATGGCGTTTACCGCACTTGTTGCATAATATACTATAACAGACGGGAATAGAAAAATATATTTTTCTACTCCCTTCTCAAATAGACGCAATCATACACCGATCGAGCGTGATTGAATCCACTTTTCCAACATTTTTTGTAGAGTTTTCAAAAGTTTATTTAACTATCGATTTTCACAGAGACCACAGCATCGATTCTTTTCCATCCTTCTTGCTATAACTATTTTATTTATTTTATCTTTGAGAGTTTAGTATACTGTCATTACGGAATTGTTTATTTAAGATGACGGACAATACGAATTTGCCCATAGCATAAATAATATAATATTATTTCTTTGCTCTGGCCATAAATTCTCCATATGCCGATATTCGCGTCAAATTAAAAGTTAAGTTTCAATACAATGCCACTCCTTGGCGCTTTATAAATTACCGAAATTCCTGCTACAGCGAGAGAGAAGCAGAAAACAGAACTTTACAAAAGCGCGGCACCGATCAGGTAGTGGGGTTTCTCGCGCCAACGCTCTTACTCGCTCCGTGTTAGTCTGGCTCAGTTCATCGCGAGCTTTCTGTGCCTAAAATTCAGCTCCGGGTAGATTCGTCGACGTACGCGGCCGATTTTCAGGCGATCCGGCATTCGTGCGTTCTGCAGGAAACCGGACCCACCCTTAGTTACGCGAATATCTTTGGTAAAACTGCTACATATGACCTATATTATACAAACTGTCAAAAGTTAAGCAACAAACTTCCAAAAACTCCAAAAGAAGTTCAAAACATCTTGGGATTTAAGTGCAGGATTGCAATTTGTTGATGTTAGTGGATGGTGTGCGAATTGAAATGTTTTCGGTGGTGTCTGATATTTATTAAGTGTGACTAAAAAATTGACATGATGCGGTTAGCGGCGCGGCTACTGTTATGGGTATTGCTGCTGGCTTCAGCTGTTTGTCAAGGTCAGTTGATTGTTTTTATTTCAACATATCTTTTTTTTGTTTAACTTAACGGGTTGCAAAGGAATGACAAACATTTTCTTTGTGCCTGAAGTACTTTTGTACTCTTGATTTTTTATCGGATATTTATAACTCCTGTCGTCATAAAGTACAATATTTTTACCATTGGTCTTGTTATTAAGTACGAATGTATGTTAAAATCGGATTATCGAGCGGTGGTTCCCCGAAAACACCGTAAATTTTTCGGTAGCATTTGCGAGGTTTTCTTTGAACCGTGCGTGTCCGGCCGACAGTTTCCATTTTATTGTTTTATGCAAAGGTTTTTTGAGTTTATTGTTAAAATGGCGGATCGGCGCAGATGAAAAACTGGAGATTGTCAGAAATATTGAGAGTGGCATCGGTAAGGCGGAAATTGCTGGACAAAAGAAATTGGCATAAACAATCGCGAAAAGATCAAGAAAGCAAGTGACTGTAAATCGCACAGGATTAAGAAAAATAGAAATCCTGTACGTTCAGACGTAGATAGAGCTCTTTTACGACGGTTGGAAGATCCGAAAATATTGCAATAAGTGGTCCAGTTCTGAAATCGAATGCCGAAGAATTAGCCAATGTGAGAATTTTAGTTGTTCTACAGGTTGTCTCGAACGCTTTAAAGTTCGTCACAACATAAACGTCGCAAAAATTTCTAGTGAAGTAGGAAGGAGTTGTTAACAAACAAGCTGTGCTGAACTGGTTAGATGATAAATGGCCCAGTATTGCACAAAATGACAGCTCTGAGGATTTTTCAGTGGTGACGAGACTGGGCTGTTTTACAAGATGGCTCCCGATAGAATTTAGAATTTAGAAGAGAATGGTGTTTTGGTGGGCAGCAGTCGAAGTTGAGGTACACCGTCTGAGTTTGTGCAAATATAAAAAGAAGCGAAAAATGCAAACTTCTTGTTATTGGTAAATATGAACGGCCAAGATCTAACCAACATTGAAATATCTCTTCCTCAGCTGGTTAGCTTCCCAACTGTTGATGATAATTTAATAACAACGGAGTTATTAACGGATAATGATATTATTACTGAAGTTTTACAGCCAAATGATCCTCAAAGCTTTGGTAACGAAAGCGACGATGATGTTCAACAAGACGAAGTACCAAGTTATTTTAAAGCACTCTGTGCTGCTAAAATTGTTACAAATTTTTTACAATCTACTGATAACGCAAATGATGATATTATTCAAGCGTCCTGGAAGGTTGGGAGGCACTTCGGGAATATGAAATTTGTATAGACAAAAAATAACCAAACAAAAATAACGCATTTTTTTATTCGAAAAGAATAAAGTATATATTGTTATTTGTATGTTGTAAAGTTTATAGAGATATATGAGTTTTAGTTTAAGTAGTTTAGTTTCTTTCGTTTTTTAGTTTTATTAGTTTATTAGTTAATGTATATTAGTTTTCTATTTTTATATAAAATGAAAATATGTACATACCTACATAATTTGTTTGTATTTTTATAGCGTACTTCCGCTTATAGAGTACTCATTTTCTGATTCCTAGAGGGTACTTTATATGCTTTATATGTTGCAAAAAAAATCTTCAACTTCAAGATAAGTCTGCGCAAAATCGAAATCTTGATGAAATAACTTGTTGGTAGTTATTAACACAATCAACACATCGTATAGACTAAAACATTTAGAATTTTGTATATAGCTTCCGATCTGTGGTTTCAGTTATCGATCAATCAAGATCAATGACGGAGGTATTTGCAAATAGTATTGGAGTATGGATATGCTGTAAATTATTTTCAAACCCGGCCCAGGGCGTAACTGCTAGGATAAAAGAGACCCCATAATTACAAATAATTTTGCTTGAATTTAGCTCGTTTTTTTTCATTTCTGGAATGGTAATTTACAACATTTGCTTCTACAAACAGTGGTCAGGAGGGAAATAGCAATCTAGCAAAATCCAGACTGTGGTTTATTAGTTATGGAGATATTTTTAATTTAATTCATCTTTTTCTAGAAGTCAAGCATTTTTTTCCTCCAAATCTCGATAAAGATATATTTAAGATAAAGGGTATAGTTGTCATTAATAAATATTAGTGTACGAGCTCTTGAATTTTGCTTAGTTGCTCATTTTGAACCTTAAGCAAATTCAGTATCATCTAAATTTCAGAGGATCCTGCAACCATCCTCAGTGTTTTACTAACACCTAAAGCAATTGGCTTCGTAAATTCTCACATCAAGCTATTAGTCATAATTGCGAGCAACGTAAAGTGTACAAAAATGTCGGAGATTAGGTAAGATGGAATTGTTAAGTTTATACTAAAACTAAGCAATATAGATCAGACCATTCATTGTTAAATGACAGGACCCGCTCCCTTAAAAATTAATAATGGAAAACCGCTCGTTTCCCCAGTCTTCATACTGAAGAGGATGAAATGCAGAAGTCAATGCATTTATGCGTTTCACTGCGATGAAATGTTAAAATAACTGGTCCGTAAAGCGTAGTTATTCAAATAATAAGAAAGGGAACCGTTTGGGATCCTTTATATCTTAGCAATTTGGATCCGCTTCCCACACAATTGCCATATAGTCTTAAGACACAAGCTCCTTCCGTCATTGTCATAGAAAATTGCAGAATGAGAACAAGAACCCTGTAATCTTTACTGAAAATTGATTACCGATAACCAACAAAGTCACTTACCTGATTTATCATCAATTGAGAATCTATGGAAATAAGATTGTTACGGAACTAATAGGGGATTCCAGGTCACTTAGTTTCTACAGGTTGAAGTACGAGGTTTTATTATTTTTAGTACTTCAATTATTTACTTCGCATCATGCTTTAAAGAGATGAATATTCTCAATCGAGACTTACATGATGGCGCCACACATTACTTAATTTTTCCACACTATTTTTTTGAATACTAAGTGTTATCAATATCAATCCTAAGTAATATTCTTAAGCACAGTTAGTATCCAAAATTTTCGCAAAAATTTAGTTTGTTGCGCACGCCGAATGGTCAACTGTCTATTTAGATACAAACCAGAAATCAATTTTCTGTGACAACACCAAATGTTAGTCGCGCGTGAAGCAGCGAAAGTTCGCGAAAGTGCCTTTCGCGAACCTATGAGTGCCAACCTGACCGTTTAAATGTATGCGTCACTGCAGAACACAAAAAATGAGACGTTAAATTAGCTGAAATGGTCGCTGTGAGAATGGGTGAATATTCATTTGCGACGACCATATGTGCGTACATATTCGGATTAGCAGGATTCCAGTCGGATGCAGGATTCCAGTGGGAGTTCAACGAGCGAACGGATGATATCCCGGAATATAGTGTCATAACATTTTTCCATCCGTGAATCAATACGTGAGAATATATATATATATATATATATATATATATATATATATATATATATATATATATATATATATATATATATATATATATATAATATATATATATATATATATATATAGCAGTAACTTTACTAATAATTGTCTACTCAAATGTCGTCAGTTCACACTTTATGAATACATTTTTGCTCTTTTTATTTCATCTGAAACATCTTAGATATTTTTGGTCATCATTCATTAGTGACATTATTCTGAAAGCCCTTTTTGTACTCTAGGGATTAACCAAAAATATCTATTACGATCTCTGAGGTTTTCTTCAAAAAATAATCAATGGCCAATCGATCTGGAAATGCCGAGGAAAATACATTTTCTTATAGTACGCATAAGAAAATGTACTTTCACTGGCAACTTTCAAAATACCAAAATTCATTTGAAATACGCAATATTTTTCTAAATTATAACAAAATGCAAAAGGAAGGCGATTTTTGAGAATTTTTCGACAATAACAACGTACTTCTTATTTGTTTGTTGTCATTTTGTAAACTGTCTTAAATCAACGTGTGAAAGTAACTTGTTCAGAATTGATTTGTTTATAAAATTTTGGGCATTTCTATTTTCTTTTTAAATTTACCATGGAATATCCTCGGGAATAACATATAATCGTGCGTAAGAAATCTTAAGAGACGTAAAATTGATACCAGTTATAGGGGTTTACACTAGCTTAGCACAAATAATTCAATTAACCTTGAATCTCCCCTTAAACTAATAAATAATTCAAACGCTGCCGCGTTTAGTGCCGTGATCCTAATAAAACACCCTTTCATGTAACCAATGTCTGAATACTTAGGGCGAAAATGGGGGGCTTAAATTTTTACCATCTTCGCGTAACATTCTTGGCGGCATTCAGTTTTTGTTGTTGCTTGGTTTTCACAACGACGACATCTCACATTGCGTTATTGATTTTGTGCTCCCAAAATTTCGCTTAATACGTTTGCCTTTCCTTTGATCTATGTCCGATCCTCTCTGTAAAAGGCGAAGTTCTCTCTACGCCTTTGTTCTGTGGATAAAAGCGACGAATTTATGTGAATTTCTTTTAGACCATGTAAGTCTAGTTGGATGCAAATAGTCTGAATAGAGTTCATTACATTTTAAACTTGTATTAGCTGTGAGAAATGGATAATTTTACCTATAACTTTATCTCTTTATAGTCTAAATATAGTTGAATGTGAATATCTACCCATCTATCGAATCATTAACATCACATTGTCTTTAAGAACCACCAAAGTATAAAAGAGCGTTTTTTTTTAATAAAACTTCTGGATTCCTCCTGCGTCTGTTTTTGTTGACTGACTTCTTCAGAGCTTAACTGAAACTGGATCGCTTTTTACTCTGTACCTGCTCATATGTATTGTTTGAGGGGGGCGGAGCTAAATGAAGGACATAAACAACTTCTCGGATGACTGATTCCCATATTGGTGACAGTTAAAGAACCGGGTCGCGGTTAAGGTTGTTAGGTTGCTTATAGATTTCTATAGACTCTCGGATTTTTCGTTGGTAGAAGAATTGATTACATGCAAGAATTTTAGTTTTATCGAATGACATTTTATGTTCCGGTTTCATGACTGTGTTCGGCAACTTATTATTTGTC